TCACCTAAACCATTTTATGTGTGTACATGAGCAACCAGATGCTCAACAACAATTCCTACAGACATACAATAGTCATTAAATGCTTGTGAAGTAAACTCACCAGCATTATCAAGTCTTACTCTTTTGATAGTATAATCAGGGAAATGTGCCCTTAATTTAATAATTTGGGCAAGAAACTTTGCAAATGCCATATTACGAGTTGATAATAGGCAAACATGAGACCATTTGCTGGATGCATCTATTAAGACCATAAGGTATCCAAATGGTCCAGATGGTGGGTGAATCGGTCCACATATATCACCTTGAATTCTTTCTAGAAATCTAGGTGACTCCCTTTCAACTTTCATTGGAGAATGTTTTATAATTAACTTTCCAAGGGAACAAGATGCACATGGTTTTATGCTGTTGGATTGAGGGAGCTTTTGGTCCTTCAATGGATGCCCATGCGTATTCTCAATTATCCTTCGCATCATTGTTAATCCTGGGTGGCCCAACCTATCATGCCATAAATTGAATGTCTCAGGATCACAATGTTTTCCTTCGACTACCATATTTGATTCAATCATATGTATATATGTATAATGCAGACCAGAATCAAGTGTTTGTAGTTTTTCAAGCATATGGTTTTATAATATACATATATTTCTTATTTTCAATGGTCACAGTTTTTGTGTCATAACCTTTGAAATATATGTCATTGAAACTTAATAAGTTTCTATTAGACTTTGGAGAAAATAAGGCATTTTCTATACAAAAGCTTGTACCATTTGGTAATATAAAATGGGTTTTCCCGGTTCCCTCTATCAAGTCTGCAGGACCTGATATTGTACGTATGACTGTTTTTGTTGGTACTAATTCTGAAAAATATTTCTTTGATTTCAGAATAGTATGTGTACTACCACTATCTGCTATACAAAGATCTCCAATCTTTTCTTGGTGTTTTGCTCCAGTTGGACTCATATTAAACTTCACATATAAAAGGAATAATAAGTGAATAAACTTAATCATAATTATTATTAAAAAGAAAGTTCATTTATTGTATGAAAGACATTACATGAAAAACAAATGAAGGAAAAACAGTTTTACTAGAACAATAACAGCTTTTTTTATTTTTATTTATTTATTTATTTATTTTAATTTTTTTTAGTTTATGTCTTCTATGTCATTACCGAAATCAACAATATTTAGCGGAGTGAATTCAACATTATCAATGAGGTTTGCTTCTTTTCCTTTTCCTTTAATGGACTCTTGATAAAGTTGACAAAGATGTGTAGGTGTGCGACAGGTCCTTGACCAATGGCCTGTGCTACCACATCTATAACATGAACCATCAGATTTTTGTGATGTCCCAGTGTCATGCCTTGCCACTTTGGCCTTATCTTGTGTGTGGACATTGTTTCTTTGTGAATATTGGTAATTATTCCTTTTCTGGCTACGACCATGATTATTACCTTGTCCACGACCATAATTATGGTTCTGATTATGGCTTTGGTTTCGATTAAAATAGCCACGACCTCGTCCTCGACCACGACCTCGCCCTCGTCCACATGTATTGTTTCGATGACCATCAATATTTGTAGCATTTGCTTCAGGAAGTGCTACTGATCCCGTTGGACGAGATTCATGGTTTTTCATCAAGAGTTCATTGTTTTGCTCTGCAACGAGCAGACATGCATTCAGTTCAGAATATCTTGTGAACTTTTGCATCCGATATTGTTGCATCAAGGTAATGTTTGTTGCATGAAATGTTGAGTAAGTTTTCTCCAACATATCTTCATCAGTAACCTCTTGTCCACAATACTTGAGTTGTGAACATATTCTGAACAAAGCTAAGTTGTATTTATTTACTTTCTTGAAGTCTTGAAACCTTAGTGTTCTCCATTCATCTCTAGCATTTGGAAGTATAACTTCCTTTTGATGATCAAATCTTTCTTTCAAAAGATTCCAGAGAATACTTGGATCAGTAACATGAAGATATTCAAATCTCAACATTTCATCAATATGCTTACGAAGGAAAACTTGTGCTTTTGCTTTGTCTTGTGCCAAGCAATTATTAAATTAATATATAGTATTTGAGATACCCATGGATTCAAGATGCATTTTTACATCTATCATCCATGACACATAGTTTTTCCCACTAACTTCAAGTGCTGCAAACTCGAGCTTTGCAATGTTGGACATAATGTACCTATAAATTTTAAACAAAATTAAAATTAAAATTAAAATCCATTTATTTCAATAAATATTACACAAAAAAGAAGCGGTAAAGCTAACATTGCATACAAGCCTAAAAGTAGATGAAATTTCATATTATCTTCGATGTTAAAGATTGGGATGAAAAGTAACAGGACTATTATAGTCATGATTATCACAAAAGGATGAATCATTTTGAAGCTTGATTTCTTGAAATTGATTTATTTGATAGAAGAGATAAATATTTGTTGTGGGTAAAATAAGCAGGGTAAAGATGTTTATTTATGGTAAAAAAAAAATATAGTCGTTGTTTTTGCTGTTTATAACCGTTGCATATATATTCCCGTTGTGTATATATGTATATGTATTTTATAAATCATGTAATAAGACTTATAACTAATACATAACTTTACTAAGTAGAAACATAAATAAATATTAGTAAGTGTTTAAATAAAATTATGAAGAGTATCTAAAATATAAATAAACATTGACATGTATAAATAAATATAATTTAAAAGTTAGTATGCACAAATAAAAGTTAGTAACATAATATAAATGTTAATATGCATAAATAAAAGTTAGTTGCATAATGTAATGTTAGTTTGCATAAATAAAATTAGTTGCATAATGTAAATGTTAGTATAAAAATTAGAATACATAAAAAAATGTTAGTATAAAAAATAAAAATTATTAGTAGTCCATAATGTATAAGTTTCATTAATTCATTGGTATTATTATTATTTTAATATGATTGAAGTTTTTATAATTAATAGTGTTTTTAATAAGTAATACATACCTTGATTAAGATAGATGTGATTTTCCACTTGTTTAATAACCTTGATTAGAGCTTTCGTGCTGATAACGTGTTGTAAATTTGATGTAATTAAAACAAGATTAATAAAATTAAACTAATAACCTTAAGAAAGAAGAATGGAGATTTGGAGAGAATTTGTTAACTTATATAAAGTATTCAAATTGGTGTATCTTTTACATATGTAATGGTGCTATTTATACTAGTTAAATCACTAGACATAATTAATAAGTTCTTACACATATTTGTCATATTTGTTATAAGAGTTGAAAATAACTCTTATATATTTGACATTAGGGTAGAAAATGTTGTCATCCACTTATTTACAACAATATATCAATATATATATATATATATATATATATATATATATATATATATATATATATATACTAGTAGTCGACCCGCGCAATGCGGCGGCGACGATTAGTTTCATTTCAAATAGTAGACTCTAGGCGACGATTGTTTTTCTTTTTGCATACGTGAAAATGTTTCGTTTCTATGGCCAATGTTGTTTTTGCTTGAATGTATAAGTATGCTGCTTATTCGGGTTTAAATGAAAAGCATTTTGTTGGGTCTGGTTATTTTCATTTATGTGAATAGTTTTGGGACAATAGTTAGATTCCTTTTAACGTGGTTCAAATTGTTCCTTTCAATCAACGACTAGACAGTGTTATTATTGGTTAAAAATATATGTACGTTGCTATTTCAGATAAAAAATAAACATGTGTCGCTCTTTTTGTAATATGTATATATAAAAAAAATTGTTTTATTGTAGGATAACATTAAAGTAAATTATTTTTTGTTAAAACTAAATATACAGTTTTAAATTCCATCAATTTAGATGCATGTCAAGTTTGAGTGCACATATACTATTTGTATTATTAGTTTCATTGTTTTTTAGCATACATTATTGTTAGTTTTATCGATGTTCAACAATATATAGTTTTACTATTATCATCTATATTGTTTTTGTTATTAGTTCTATAAAAAATATTGTTTGATTTGTGTCGATTTGAAAGATATATTAGAGTAAGAGTGTCTTTGACTTTTTTAATAATAACTTAGTGGTTTCTTTTTTACTTGATAAACTTTATGAATAAAAAGATAAACCTTATAAATATATTGTTATTTTCGTTTAAAATAAAAGTTATATTAGTTATGTTTTAATTCGAAACTTTTACGTTTTACCAATTTTTTTTAGATAATCTATTGGTATTTCTCAAAATATTCAACACTACTTCCAAACTAAACCTTTGTCAAAACTCAAACTTGAGCCAAATATTTAATTCAAATTTTAAGGGACAAACAAAAAAAAATCCGATAAACAGCCAACAACCAAGGGCCAAGGGACAAACTAAAAAAAATTCCGATAAACAGCCAAAAATTATGATAAACACCCAACAGAAAGTCCACTCTTGAAATGCCCTTCTCCAGCATTCTCTTCTTGTTAGCATCAGATACCCTCATATTATCTATAGTCACTGAAGTTGTGTCTATTGTCGAGGTCTTTTCCTGCCATTAGCAATACATGTAAAGAATGGATGCCTTAAAGTTTAAACATACATTGGAATATTTGGGAAGTATTATGATTCAGAAGGCGACCTTGCTGCTCTACCAGATACTTGTATGGTGACCTCCTGCAAACACAATCTTGAAAGTTTATAAATTAACTCCATGATTGTTGTAAACATTCTAGATTTATCACCAATCTTGAAAGTTTAGGCTTTAAGCCGACAAAATGTTGTTTCTCTAATAATAACCTGCAAGAAAAAAAAACTAAATCAGAAAGAGAGAGGGTAAGTGGTGTGTTTTAACTAAGAAACATCAATGTTTTAACTAAGATATAAAATGCAATCCCTATAGCCATGTAAGGGTATTATTGTAAATTTGTAATTACCTTACCATTATTAGGAAATCAACTCCCTTATGCTATATTAAGGAACACCTTCACCTATAATGGCTACAACTCTAATTGCAGGTTTTAAGAGCAAGATTAAATGAAACTGCAACACCGCATAAATTTATAAAATATTAATAATAGTTAATTACCATAATATTAAAAGAAAAGCTCAATAACCAGGAATTACATGGGATAGAACTAACCTTCTGAGCCATCTCCTCATTGTTCTCCTAAATAAATGGAATATTTCATAATTCAAACCACCATAAGCTTCTCTTATAGTGGCATCATGGAGCAGCCAATTATCAACTTCTTTTGGTGGTAACTGCACATATATCACCAGTAATCATCAGATTAAAAAAAAGCATCAATTAAAATCAAGGTATGTTTTGAAGGTTATCCTGTTTCTTTTTCTTCTCATTATCACCATCCTGTTGTAAAAGAAAGTATCATCTAGTTAGCCAACAATAAAGTAATGGAAATAAGAACATCAAAAGTAATTAGCAACGTTTATGATAAAAAGTGTATCAATCACTTGTAAGTTTGTTGATAAATCTGAATAGATTGAATTCATGAAACAAATTTTAGGAATCTTATGAAAAAAAATTTACCTCATCCCAAGAGGAATTATCCATTCGAAGATCCAGGCCGAATATAAACTTCAATATCAGTAGGAATGTGTGTTAACCAATCAAGAATCTGAAATTTACACAAATTAAGTGAAAAAAACATCAACAAAGATCTAAAAATAAGAAAAATATTAAAGTTTTAGTGATCCTTTGTCTTTTCCAGAGAGATAAAATCAAAATGTGTTGCTATTTTTGTTCATCCAAATTTGTTAGGATAAATCTCGTTCAGGCAGGTAACTACAAACATAAAAACACCAAAATGCTTATACAGATCAAAGATTTGGAAAAAAAAGACTAAATCGGAAAAATAGAGGGTAAATGGTGTGCTTTTTGTGTGTACATGTGGAGGAGTGATTTCCATAACAGGGGTAATCTTTCCCTCCTCGGCCTAATAAAACAACGAAATTTTTTGAGTTCGTGAAGGGCAAAATGGGAATATAAATAAGATTAAGATTAGGATTTTTACCAATTTCTCGTATGTTTCCTTGATTGAAGCTTCAAATGATTCAAATGAAGTGGGGACAACTGCTCCGGCATCTTTGAGTGCTTCATTTTTAGCTTGTGCAGACTCCATTTCACCACCACTTTTGGCTCCCTTATTAATGAATGGGTAAGTGAAAAAGATTAAACATGATCAACAGAATCACAAAATTACCCTTCCAAATTAAAGAAAGGAAAAATAGCAATGTAATGTACGTTGTCTATATTGGTGAAAGGTTGCTATTTCTTGCATAATTTAGCATTTAAGAAAGTAAGATAATAAACTTACTACATGACCAAATTGAACTTCTGATTTGAAGAGACGTGCACAAGTTCCACTGACCCAAGCGCATACTGGTTTATTGATTTTTCCTGATTTAAGTGCTTCAACTAATGAATATTCATCTCTTCCACCGAGTTCCCCAAGCACAACAATCATTTTTATCTGAAAAATACATATAAAAATGTCAATAAATAAATAGAGAGATGAGAGATTTATAATTCCATATACCTGTGGAATGTTGTTGAATCTCAAAACATGATCAGAAAGGGTGGAACCGGGAAAAACATCTCCTCCAATAGCAATGCCTTCATAGATTCCATCTGTCACACGCACGATTATGTTGTATAACTCGTTAGACATCCCACCATGTAATTTAAATTTCAATTTCAATTTCAATTTTAACAATTATCTTATCTCTCACAATTACTAATACATGGTCAATTAAAGTCAAACATACTTACAGATTTTGAGACAAATCCAACAGATCCAGGCCTATACAGTTTGCATTGAATAATGTTATCAATTGTTCCAGCAGTGTCACCAATCTTGAAAGCTCCAGCTTGAATCCCACCAACAGTTGCAGGACCAATAACAACCTGCAAGAACAACCATCAGCAGTTAACTATGATTAAAGTTGTTAGGGGTATCATCGTAATTCCGTACCTTGTTGTTTGACCTTGCATAGGAGATCAACTCCTTGGTGTCTGATTCAGGTTTTGTGGCCTCCTTTTCCTGATGAATATAGTTATATATTAATGTCTTTATTATATTTATAAGTATTTAACACTTGAAATAAATGGTTATATTAATAAGAAAACCTGTTATGAAAAAACTCAGCCATTGATTTTGCTTCAATTGTGGCTGATGCTATAATCAGGCGCAACTCAGGCCTTCTGCGTTGTATCTAAGAAATTAAAAATAATAAATATATGAAAAAGAATTGATATGAGAGGCAGTCAAATGTCGAACAGATCTACGTGATGAAATAACCAAGAGGCAGTCAAATGTCGAACAAATCTACGATTGAGTGGAAAAGGGGATATGAGAAATTTTAGTTTTGATATTTGAACAATACTAAGAGAAAAATTTACCTGGAGACTGAAGAGAAACCAATCGAAATCGATTGCCAATCGTTCAAAAAGTCGATTGCAGGGGTGCACTTTGGATTTTGTCTTGAAGAAATCAGATGGAAATTTTATAAACAGATGAAGAAGAGTGATGATGAGGCTGGCCATGCTTCATGCGTCGCTGATCTTCAATCGCCGGCCGTTCTACCTGCGTCGAGTGTAAGCGGCGCTGTCCAGCCGTCCGCTCCTCCAGTCGTGACGCCCCCATCTCCAATCTCCGGCTCAGCGCCCGTCATACCGGAGTCGTTCCCTCCCTTGACGTCGAAAAAACTTGGCGGTGAAAGGGAGAGGGTGGTGTGTTGCTCGAAACGTGGCGGAACGATGAACGAGATGGCGAGGGAGACTATTTAGAGTTAGAGGGAAGAAGAAAAAAGGAGAAATAGAGAGAAGCGGCAGTGGTTTTCAAATTTTGAAAATGAAATACATGAGGAATAATAGAGTGATGCAGAAAAGAAGGACACGGTGGCTATCTGTGTGAGTTGATCCATGTAAGGCACCGTGTGTTTGGTAGGTCTTCCCAAGTCAAGCATTAGACATTTGTACACAAGGCTCTACATGTTGTCTTTTTAGACAATTTTTAAACTCTCCATTTTCATTGGTTAATAACATTTCACATGGATCACCATTCAGAAAATCTTCACCGTTCAATATATATCCGACCATCCAAAATGTATTTCCTTGTTTTTTAAGATAATAGGCTTTATTTGTTGTACCTTAGGCTTTAAAATTTGTACTTAAGACATTGATTATGTACTCTTTATAAGATGGTATAGATATATATATACACACACACACACACAAAAAAAAAAAACTTAAGGTGTAGTCTAAGTAATCATATGTTAACACGTGGACATACACATTTGAGTAACAAACTAACTGTTCTCATTAACTTACGATATCTAAGTGGTGTGACAAATCTTTGATCGGGAAAAACCGTCTAAAGGGTATAAGGTTTTAGCGGCGACAAATTGGTGAATAAGGAGGGAATACTTCCCGGTAATTTTTTTAGGTATTAACGGCTACAAATTTAACCACTATTTACTTCGCCACAAATAGAATGTACCAGCTAGGAGTGATTGCCAATGTCAGCCATTGGATCACGACGTTTAATCAACGGATAGGCTTCCTCAATCATTGATGACACAGATCGGGGTTAAAAGGCTTAGCTGTGCGACGCAATCTATATCAACGACACTTAAACGTGTTGATTAAATGTCACCGTTATAGCGCGTCGATTTCTTGTAGTGACATTTTATGATACCGAACGAGCTTGATAAGCCTACAAACTACTTCGATAGGTATAACTTCCCAAACTTCATCTTCTCTAAACACGACATCCACAAATACAACTTGAGAAACATTTGATAACTTCGGATTGCGTCACAACATTTGCACTCTACATTAAGTGGTGAAGATGATATTAAAAAGAAAAAAAAATCCGATCCTTTGATTATTTTTAATTTATAAAAGAAAATCATGGCAAGATTTTTACATATAATTAACCGGGCTAGTTGTGGGTATAAATATTATTCATAACTAGTATATTTGGTGAAGTACTAATCTTTCACCAAACTCCTTTCGTATGCATATGTAGATACAGAAGGTTTATATGTATTGGCGGCTATTGTTAAAAACATGAGTGCGTGTGTGTGTAGAGGTGGAAGGATGCTTATGGATAGAAAACTGTGGTCCATGAAAGCAGAGGATTTGGGGGAAGTGACGCGTGTAAAAGGTTTACATAGGTTTTGGGAGCCCCCCATGTGCAAATGCCAGTATGCATTCCCTTAGCGTGGAAATAAACCTGTCTTTTTTAAATCACCTTTTTACTACTTCCAATTACCCTTTTTATTTTCTAAGCCCACCAAAACTAAATAATTATAATTAAATAGATAAATAAATACATAAATAAAGATTTTAGCCTTGGCTTGCCTTAAGCTTTGAGTTTGAGCCAAAATATTTGACTTATTACACATAGTTTCATCTGTCTTTATATCTTAGTGTCATGTGTTAGCTAGACGTGATATAATCTGTCTCTATTTATGACTCCTAGACCAAACAATAAATATAAGTAAAGGCCGGGCTCTGTTTATATGTCCTTTATCAATAAACGAATTAGCAATTATTTCAGTTAGATTCATTTACTTGTGTTAAGACATGTGTATGTATAAACATATAAGGAAAAAGTAAAAAGACATTAGTAAAGGGAAAGTTTTGTTATCCATATACGAAATTCTTGGAGGAACTATAAACAAAAGCCTTCCACGTATTACCATTGACTGCGATCCAAGTCAGTTACATCTTGTCTTGTGCTCAAGATACATGGGACTCATGGGTTATGTTTGTCAAAAAGTTCTTTCACTTTGTTGGATGTGGAATTCAAATCAAGAAATAAACTATATATATGACATTAATTGTTTCTTTTCCAGACCTTGAAATGACTTGTATCTTGAAAATCCGAACATTTCATTAATTAGTGTATTTTGTTGACAATAAATATTGATGTTAAATATAACTAGTTTATAAGAATCATGCATGTGAAAGAATATACAAAATTAAACCACATGAAACGAATTATGTCGCAATAATTCTGTGTTATGACAAAGGTTACAACTTCTTATTACATGAGATACAGGTAAGCTTATCTAGAGGGAGAACACATGTGATGTAAGTGCATGTGTCACATAACTAATAACCAATTGAATAATTTATGGTGAAGGTTTTTTACTGTAATTCTCATTGAGCCACGTAGCCATGGAGCTAAAAGCTATGTGAGTGGCTTGGCTAATTAAGTACCCACAAAACGGGAATATATATATGTATCATCCAATTGGAGGCAAAAATTTTAATAATTATAATAAATATATGACATATAATAATTAATATATAATATATAATAAAAATGTAAAATGTCTTAGTTTACTAACTTCAAGGTGGTCAGGTTTGGGATCCCAACTCCTGCCCTTATCATACTCCTACCCTTTGTTTGTGATTTTCAAATTCACACCTAGCTAGATCAATGATGTTCTTCATTCATTTCATCTCTTTCATTACCAAATCAGGAAAGCCAATCCCTTCACAACTTCCTCTCATGCCTTTGTTTTTCTGATAAAAAAGGAAAAGCAACAAACTTACTAATGCGTACGCCACAACTTGGTTGTAATGGATAAGATATGCAAATCGTAAAATAAACAAAAGATTAAGTTTAAAATCTAGAAGCATAGTACCAATCAAATCATGTTTTTTAGATATATATTAACCATCCTTAATTACTCAAACTACATGAATTAGTTACAACTTATCAATTATCATAAATTAATTAGAAACCAACATGTGGGAATATGTTGCATCAAATACTGAGTTGTAGGGATTTTTATTTTGTTATATGGGTCTAGTTTCTTTCTGACATGACTTCCTCCAAATTTATTGGATAAACATGGGGTTGATGATCAAGATAAAATGAACACAAATGGGAAGAAAACATATGCTGGACATCTTCGAAGATATGAATTTTCATAATTAGAATAAAAGTACTATTATCCTTATTACGCCAATCCTATTGGTCCCATTGTAGACCAATGTAACACCATTATTAAGAAGAGTGTCATCTCCAAAAATCTGGCGTTCGAGTACATTAACGGTTTGATACATTTTACCTGCGTAAATCAAGTCGCGTCTCGCCAAATTAGACAAAAAGTTGACACCACTGTTTTTTTCTATCTCATTACCCGAAAAGAGACAGACCCACGTCAGATTTGTAGTTTTGCATATAGACATGTCTTGATGAAGGGTAGAAAAGGAAATTTAATAAAAAACAAGGTCAATATGGACATTACATGTTTATAAATAAAGGCAAACTCTGCACAATCCAAAGTAACAGCGGACTCCTTAGTCTTCACTCCACCTTTATAAATAAAGTCTCTCTTGATGTACCCACTCTAAAACATCCACTTGTTTCACCAAAGAAGAACACCTCTGCCGAGTGTTGAGAAACACGCAGAGAGAGATATGACGAGCAATATGAAAACTCAAGTTGATGATCAAATGGTTCTCCTCTCCCAGTATTATCCTGGGATTTACGATCAACTCATACCTGAACAAGGTTTGAACTTTTCTTATATATATACATATTCTACTCTATATACATCAATACATGTTTATGCATTTGTGAAGTTCGATGTTTGATTGTGGTTTCTTATAACTATGTTGTAGGGGAAGTTGTGAAACCACGAAGAAGACGAAAGAAGAACAAAGCAGATGGAAACAGCAGTATGATGAGAAAAAGGAAGCTTAGTGATGAACAAGTGAATCTTCTTGAGCAAAACTTCGGAAATGAACATAAGCTTGAATCGGAGAGAAAAGATCGGCTTGCTTCTGAACTTGGGCTTGACCCACGTCAAGTTGCGGTTTGGTTTCAAAACAGGCGAGCTCGATGGAAGAGTAAGAAGCTCGAAGAGGAATACTCGAAGCTCAAGAGTCAACATGACTCCACTGTTCTTGAAAAATGCCAACTCGAATCTGAGGTAACCCTTTTTCTATGATATATGCAAAGAATTTGGACACAAAAAACAACATGAATAATTAAGGGATCCTATGTGGTCCTTCTTTACTCGTGATAGTGATATAATCTTGTATATCCACATTTTTCTTATTCCTTGATATTTACAAGAAACTTTTTTCCCATTGTGTTGATCATTTCTTAGAAGGTTCAATCAGTTTGTGTTGAACATTTATTTTCCATTAGTTATTAAATACCCTAGAAAAAAACCTAAAAGAAAGTTAAACGGAGGTCTTTGACATCCGATTTTCAGCTAAGTCATGATAAGATTGTTTTAACTTTTAACCATTTATTTTTACATTTCTATATAGATTTTTTGTGGAAGTATGGATAAGTATTGTGGTTGGTTACTTGGAATTTAAGTTGGTTTCTCATTTACTGTTTTATGAAGTTGACTAGCATCACAGTAATTAATTCCTTTTTTTACATTCTTCTTCTTGTACACTCAAGATAAATAGACTCTTATCCACTTTAAGCTAAAAATAAGCAAGCTTAATTCGGAAAATGCATGGACTCAAGGCTCGAGAAAAACTAAAGTAATGCCATTTTTTCA